ATTTATTTAATATCACGTCATATTATAAATTTATAATTTTACATAATATTATAATTATAATAGTATCATTTTATCATTTTAAATATGAAAACATCTTCTTCTTTTTCTTTATATTTAATAACATGTTATATTTATTTAATATCACGTCATATTATAAATTTATAATTTTACATAATATTATAATTATAATATTATCATTTTATCATTTTAAATATGAAAACATCTTCTTCTTTTTCTTTAATTTTAAAAACATCTACTATGAGTTTTATAAATAAAAAAAAAAGTACTAAAAAAAGACTATAATAATTTTTATTCATGTCTTAAAACACTATCATTTTAGAAAGTCTATTAAAACAATCTAATTTTGTAACATTTTTTACCTATTTTTTTTACTTTGGTTGCTAGACATATTTTGGTTTAAAGTTGCTATTATTTTTAGTTTTTGATTTTGGTTGATTATGTTTGAATGAAGAAATTTTATTTGAAATTTTGATCATGCTAATTTGAAGCTTGATTCATGACCTGTGTCGTGTGCCATAGATTTGGTCCTGTGGATGTCGATTTGATAGGGTTTTCCTTTTCTCTAGGTGTATTATTGGGATTATTTCTTCTTTTCAGGTTACCATTTTGGCCATATGCAAAGGGTATTGCCATTTTACTGCTGGTCACACCTTACTTTGCTGGTGCTTCTCATGTTTTACATGCGGTTCATCAAACATTTTATTGAGAATTCAGAAATTTGGGACATGTTGCTTCTCCAAACCAAGAATAAATTTCCCGTTGAATCCACAGATATAGCTAGCAGTGAACAGTTTTTGTGAATTTGTATACGCCTTGGGTTATTACTCGTGGGTTCTTGATGTTGCATTCCCTGACCAAACCCTGCATCTCATCTATGTACTGCCCATGAACACCTTGATTGAGGTTGTCTGTATTTACATTTCACAGTTGGGATAATAACTTCCTTAATTTAATGTTATGAATGCACTTATCTACTATATCTAAACAAATTAAATATTCGATTTAGAACAAACAATTAAAAGAATAATAATTTAAAGGATAAAATTTTGGAAATAAAATTTTAGAAGGAAAAACTTTTAGTCATTAATCAGAGGCAAAATGAATTTTTTTTTCTAGGTATTGACTTTTAAATTTTTTCTAGACAAAAATAATTAGGGAAGAAAAGAAATAGAAACGAATAAAACTCATGAATTGAAAAAAATATCAATAATTTATAAATTAAATGTAAATATTTAAATAATTATAAGATTTAAACTTTAAATTAACCTAACTACTAAAACCTAAAAACGAACTACTAAACCCAAAAAGTCAATTTATTGACTTCTAAATTTTAATCCATCTTTATCATTTTTGTAATTAAAATATTTTAAAAGAAGGAGATGTAATCATGCAACTGAGCAATGGTGGAGCCCGACCCGCTCCGAAAATGACCCACCGGATCCCACCCAAATCAACGGTCCACACAAATTTGAATTTCAAACAATTAAGGCAATAATTTTCACTGAAGGAAGTAAAGAGAAAGAGCAGCAAAATACCAACAAAATTCCATACGGATCTCTAAAATAGAAGAATAAAAGCTCAATTCCATTACTCGTGCCTCCTAGATTCCGAAACCTCTAAAGTGTAATTCTTGTCATCGAAAACTTTCATTTTAGAGCGAGAGTCATGAATACAAACTACCATGATGATAATGGAGATGAAGTGGATTCCATGCTCTGCATTCCATTTTCGAGATTGATAAAATCCGGATTCATTATCACCAAATGCTCAGGTTTTTTTATTTTTTTTGGGTTTTGTTCTCTTCTCTCTCATTGGCTTTAATTTTGTGTTATATAGATAATTTACTTTCTTTTGGTTTGTTTGGACGCCGAGAAAAAGTTAGAAGAATGACGAGAGAGCGAAGATTATCTATCTAGGAGTTAATGTTATCTTGTGTTTTGAACCAGATAATACTGTACTGTTTGTGAATGTTGGAGGTGAGGCTGTAAAGGAAGAAGGAAACTGTGCAATCAGTGTTGTAGCTGACAGGTTCTTTGATGGAGGTGATGTCTTAAGAACAGATGAAAGGATAATTGATGCTGGAGATATGCCAGCGATTTACCAATCAGCTCGGTTTGGAAACTTCTCGTATCGATTCAGCAATTTGTCTCCAGGAGAATACTTCGTTGATCTTCAATTTGCTGAAATTGTGAACATCAATGGTCCCAAGGGGATGAGGGTTTTTGATGTTTTCATTCAAGAAGAAAAGGCAAGGAAACTTGAGCTGTTTACTGCCTGGATTTAACTTACTCGGTTATGTTCACAATTTCTGAGAGATTTTGCTTGTTTGGGCATAACTTGCAGGTAGTGTCTGCACTTGATATATACTCCATAGTTGGAGCCAACAAGCCTCTGCAAGTGGTGGACATTAGAGTTTCTGTGGGGCTGGATGGGGTAGTTGTTATAAGGTTTCAAGGAGTTTGCGGAAGCCCAGTGGTTAATGGGATTTGTATCAAGCAAGCATCACGAGTACCCGGTATCTTCTTTCTTCTTCGTTGATTCCCAATTTCCCATTTTTGTGTATTTCCAAGGGAGACATTCTCAAATTACATATGATTTATCTTATGATTTTTATAAAGCAGACCAGGAGGAACATGAGTATGTCATTTGCAGCAATTGTGATACTGAAATAGAGATTTCATCATGTCAGGTTAGTTATTTGATTTCATATTAGGACCCTTGAAGACTCAAAAGTACTGTAAAATTGACATTATGGTCGTGTGGTTTGCAGAAGCAGAACATAAGGATAAAATCTACGGCCAAGTTAGAAAGGAAGATAGAAGAGCTGAAGAACCTGTGCCAACTCAAATCAGAAGAATGCTACCAGGCTTGGATGTCACTGACAGCTGCAAATGAGCAACTAGAGAAGGTCAGGATGGAACTTGACAATAAGTACTTCCAAAACTTGCGTTTAGGTAAGGCAGATTGCAGCCTTTTTCCCTTTTCTTTTTTTTCTTTTTTTTTTTTTCGAGGTGGAACTTGGAAGGATAGCCTAGTGAGTTTTTGGTTGAATAACAAAGAAATGTTTGTGGAAAAGAACTTCAATTTCTTCTTGTTAGAAAACTGAAATTCTTCTCATAATGCATAATGTTTATTTAGATCAAGCGATGGGAAAACAAGCTGCAAAGTTGAAGGATATTTCTAGTCGATATGAATATGATAAGAAACACTGGTTAGCTTCCATCAGGGAATTGGAGAGAAAAGTGGAGGTAAACAATATGTAGCTTGTCTACAAATTAAGGATATGTTCTTCGAACACCTAGTGAAATACCAATATACCAATATTCCCTATTACTTATTTACTGACCCTTTACAGACCATGAAGCAAGAGCATTCTCAGCTCTCTTCTGAAGCTCATAATTGTGCCGATTCAATTCCTGAATTAAACAAAATGATCTTTGGAGTTCAAGCATTGGGTGAGTTTGCATGTACAACTAAATAAGTGTCGTCAAAAAGTCCTTGTATCTTAGTAAGCTATCTGAACTGCAGTTGCTCAGTGTGAAGATCTAAAACTGAAGTTCAGTGAGGAGCAGGCAAAAAGGAAGAAGCTGTATAACCAAATGCAGGAGGCAAAAGGCATGACTTTTAATGTTTAAAAATTTCACACTCTACTTTATACATTTTGGATTATGGATTAGCTAATCCCCAAGCTTCTCAATATAATTCTACATTTCAGGGAACATTAGGGTGTTTTGTAGGTGCCGTCCATTAAGTAAGGAAGAAACTTCAGCTGGGTATGCAACGGTTGTAGATTTTAGTGCAGCCAAGGATGGAGATCTAGGGATACTTACAGGTGGATCCGCAAAGAAAATATTTAAATTTGATCGAGTTTACACACCTAAGGATAATCAAGGTATAACAATTTTGAGTTGCCTAACTTTATAAGCCAATACATCCTTAATCTGGTTTTTATGGCAATTTAAAGCATATGCAATATATTTTGACAGTAAATCTACTTTTTTGCTGTAACAGCTGATGTTTTTGAGGATGCTTCCCCCATGGTAGTTTCTGTGTTAGATGGCTACAATGTCTGTATATTTGCATATGGGCAGACGGGGACAGGGAAAACGTTTACCATGGAGGGTACAGAACAGAGCAGAGGAGTCAATTATCGGACTTTAGAGCAGTTGTTTAAAGTTGTTGAGGAAAGGAAAGAAACTTTTACTTACAATATATCTGTCAGTGTGCTTGAAGTCTACAATGAACAAATTAGAGACTTGCTTGCCACAGCACCAGCATCAAAAAGGTAAATTCATAATTCTATTAATTTCAGGACTGCCTATAGTTTGTTGAGAGCATATGAATCGCCAACGTGATTTGCTTTGCTTTGCTTTATCTTTTAGGCTGGAGATAAGGCAAGCTTCTGAGGGGTTTCATCATGTGCCAGGGATAGTAGAAGCCAAAGTTGAAAATATTAAGGAGGTATGGGATGTTCTACTGGCTGGAAGCAATGCAAGGGCTGTAGGGTCAAACAATGTGAATGAGCATAGTAGCCGATCTCATTGGTTGGTATCAGGATATGGTGACTTTTTTCAAAAGAAAAGGAATTATTGTTCTTTTTTATGCACTGTTTAGATTTTATTAATATTTCCTGATGTCAATTTTTTTATGCAGCATGCTTTGCATATTGGTAAGAGCTAAGAATTTGATAAATGGTGAGTGCACCAAGAGCAAGCTTTGGCTTGTGGATTTGGCAGGTAGTGAGAGGCTAGCAAAAACTGAGGTACAAGGGGAGAGGTTGAAAGAAGCCCAAAACATCAACAGATCACTTTCAGCTCTGGGAGATGTGATTTCAGCTTTGGCAACCAAAAGCAACCACATCCCATATAGGTTTGGTCAACCTTCCTTATATTTTAAACATCTGGTTGTAGTATTTAAAGTTTATCCATGTGTTTGACAGGAATTCCAAGATCACCCATCTACTTCAAGATTCCATAGGTAAGGCAGCAGCATGATAACTCCTTTGAGTGTCTCATTGATCCTGCTGAGAATGAGGCGATATTCAGTCCCACAAAACAAGAAAATAAAAAAGAAAAAAGAAAAAAGAAAAAGAATGATCTTATACAGATCAACTTGTTTCAGACGTTAAATGATCAACATTCATCTCAACAGCTTACTGAATGTGCTGCAGGAGGGGATTCCAAAACCCTAATGTTTGTACAAGTCAGCCCTTCAGAGCAGGACTTAGGTGAGACCCTTAGTTCATTAAACTTTGCAAGTCGAGTTCGTGGCATCGAGTTAGCTCCTGCAAAGAAGCAAGTTGATGCAAATGAGCACCAAAAGTTCAGATTGATGGTAAGCCAATGGTGAAGGTCTTCCATTCTGCTTTCTGAATTGGCAAATATTTAATGTCATGCATGAAAAAGCATGCATGTTGAATTTCTCTTACCTTATGCCATCTCTTCATGATGAAGGTTGATAAACTGAAGCAAGAATTGAGGTCCAAAGATGATGCTCTACGAAAGTTAGAAGAGAATCTTCACACTGCAGAAGCCAAAGCCAAGGACAAGGATCAGCTTTGCAGAAACCAACAGGAAAAGCTTAGTGAAGTTGAAGTCCAGCTTGCATCAAAGACAGAGTTAAGTAGACAGCTTGAGAAACAGGTTTTGCGACTTTCCAGAGGAATGAAAGAGAAGGATGAAATTTGCTCAAAATTTCAGCTGAAGGTTTCTTTCTTTTCCTTCCGCAGCATTTGACATCATGTCCAAGTGTGTCATTGGACTTGTGTTTCTGTCACAGGTCCAAGAGCCGGAGAACAAGCTGAAGGATCGTGAACACACAGCATCAATGACTCTCCAACACAAGGAACAATCTACATATTCTTCTGAGAAGTTACAGGTCACACCCAATATGGTGTCAGTATTGAAAGCAGAAAAGGATTCTCCAAATATAAGAAGCTTGAGCTCAACTACTAGGACGATTAATGTGGAGTCTGAGTTGCTGAAAGGAACTGATTCCCTCCGGGAGTTAAGGAGAAAAAAACAGATACAGAGCAAAGGAAGCGAAAACAGTTTCAACAGTTTCCTATTATCAGCCCCTCTGGTTGACAAGAGGGTACCCTCAGCTGAATCAAATAAAGCAAGGCAGATAGACCCCTCCAAAGCATTTTCAAGAATCACAAGGAGCGGTACTAAATCAGTCACCACTGGTCAAAGGGCTTTCTCCGACAACAATTTCAACAGAGATCAGGTTAGAGGGGGGAAAGAGAGCAGCAGCAGGCTGAAGATGTGGTTAAGATAGTTCAAAGACAGCAGTTTTAGCAACATTTTAGGCTCCTGGTCTCCCCTCTCCCAATTGTAGAATCAATTTGAATGCATTCTTTCTTCCCCTCTCCCAGATATTGTAGAATCAATTTAAATGTACTTGTTTTTTATGAAATTTGAATGACCAGCATTATGCTGTCACGGTTCAATTTATGAACTACGCAAAAATATCTAGGTAAACTAAAAACTTCAGGATATAAAGAAGATAATAAAAGGGAAGGAAGAATGAAAACACTGGCTAGAATGAAAACAATGGCTAGTCTAAAAACCGCCAACCATTTCCATAGCCAATATATGACTGTACAGTATATAAACATTTGTCGATTCAATGTTCACCCTAACCCTTTAATTAACCACCAATATAACCAAAAAGTTGGTGCATTGTATTTTTATCTACATGACAACTTTGATGCCCCATTCTTGGTATTAACCGAATCCAAACCCTTCACTGGCTTCATGAATTGCAAGCAGAAGTCTCTCCTCCAGATGTTCTTTAGAGGGATACTCCGGTAAGTCCAACTGATTGAAGCTGCAATTATCATGCAATTAGATAAGAAAATAATTCTACAAGCAATAAAACCAGAGCAAACTATAACCAAATTAAATGCGTAACGTATAAAACAAAGTAAATAAACAATCCATGCTCACAAATGACAGGAACATCAAAAAGAACAATCAGGCATCATGGAGCCAGAAGCCAGACCAAAATTATGATAAATATAATACAGAGATGTTCAAATGATTACCAAGTATGGGCAGAAGGTAAGTGATTGGGACCGCCATATGCTTTGTGAATCTGAAACCTCTGTGAGCCTGAAATTCCTTGAAGTGCACTGAAGCCCTCTAAAGGCACCTGTAAAATTTACCAAGCACAACTTTTAGACCCTCCAACAGAACAAACAACAGTTTATCTCTATTCCGATAGCAGAAGTTACTTGTACCAGTGATTCAAACAACTGGCTTTGAGGAGGGAAGAAAATGACACACATGCTAGTAAGTTAGACAAAGTGTAGGATTTCACATCAAACATACCATATTTTGTTTAAGCTAAATTTCAACTGCAAGAGGCAGATCCTTTTAACAGCATTAAAGTGTTGACTAGTTTCAAATGTGGAGCCCATTTGGTTTAAGGGAAATGGAGGGAAGGGGAAAATACTCATCCAATCAAATTAAGACATTCATGATAAACATTATCCAGGAGATACAAATTCTCCACAGCATAGAACCAAATTATGTTACCTAATAAGACATGTATTGCATTGATACACATAATAAAATCCTCAACAAGTACTAGGAAGTGAGGCTGGGAAATGAAGTTGGGACATTCTTAATTCCATGAACTGGCAATTTATCCAGCAATCGATACTCTGAATAAAAGTTCACAGCTACTGAAGCAAGAGATTTACTATCTAGAAATTCAGAGTAGAATTACCTTTGAGGTGCCAGTCACAAATTGCAATAGACGAGCTTTATCCTCCTTGCTGAAGCCTTGAACAACCTCCCAAAACCACTGTACCACAGGAGATGCAGCACTGTAACCAGAGTACTCGGTATTTGCCCTCAAATCATCAACTGGGAGAACATGATCCAGAAGAACTTATTAGGACTTTTGGGTTAAATAATAAAGGCTATTTATCATAATTTGATGTAAGGACCAAAGAAAGTCAATCAATTGAAGTAAAAATAGAACATAAACCAGTTTGGGAAACTTACGATCAATATCTGGAAGCCCACTTATCAGCAATTCCAGCTCCTTGTCGTGAAAAATAGATATTAATTCCCTAGGAATTAACTCACTGAATCCTTCCAAAAACGCATTTATTTGAGGACGAATTGCAGTTGTCAATCGATGCTCAGCAACTAAGTCAACATACTGGTGTTTATTCTCCTCAGTTACTTTAATGTTTCTCCCACCAGGGATAAGCTCATAATCAGTCACCTATATATTTGTAGAACATAATCAAGACCCAAGAGCACATTTTTGCATAGAAAAGCTCAAGAAAGGATTGAAGGAAACAATTACCTGTGTCCTTTCATACAAAATAAGCTTCTCCTCATCCGCATCAATGCTAAAAGTAAGGTCCAAAACATCCCTAATATCATTCTGGAAAAATGAAAAAAAATAATAAGAAGAAAATCTAGTTGCCAGCAAAATAGCTCTCTCCCCCTACCTAACACAAACTAAAAAATCTGTATGAAGTAAAATGACACACCTCAAGCATCCACTTTAGGTTTTTAAAGTAAGCAGGATCAATTGCTTCAATGTCATGATACGTAACTTTGACACCCAAAATATGCTTGTAGAATGACCGAGTAAAGTGGACATCCAAGAGTTGCCCATCAAAAAGTGCTTTACCAACCTGGAAAAGAAATAATTATGGAGGGAAAAGAAATAATTATGGAGGGAACAAGAAGCAGGGGATTAATGTAATAATCACACAATTTTTACCAAGATACTTACAACTCGTCCAACAAATTTGAAGTATGAAAGATGCTCTGTTTGGTAGACTGAGTTGGGGTTCGGCTGGAAGGTTGATTCATTGCCGACTGTTGTAAAAAGCAATGCTCCTTTGTCAAAGATGACCCTGGACAATAGCTGATACCATTCCCTTGTAAGTCCACCAGCATCAATGCCTTCCTCTCCTTGAAAATTAACAGTTAGCCTTCCCTTCAAATCTTGGGTTGATCGCAACCGCAGCTGGTTATACGAATCTTCAAGTATGTAAGCTCGTCTCACAGAAATTCTTAGGGGACTGTGATGATGATCATGCTGGTGCTTAATTTTTGACCTGAAGTAAGCACGTTTATTATCAAAATCAACAAACCGGGGAACTTTCAGCATCAGTGAGAATGACTTCTCTAGCAACCCAGGATTTTGACGGATGAATGCATTTAGTAGCTTCCTATGTTTCTCAGAGAACTTAACAAAGGCAGCATGCTTTTCATCAACTTTTGAAATGGGACCAGCAGTTTTCTGCTGGTTAGCAGATGCACTGGCATCTTCAGCATCAGAAATTGCAGGGATGCCTAAATCATGACCAGAACCTGGTTGTGCAGGATGTAACTTCTCACACATCACAAAGAAAGATTCTATATATGGTAGGATATTTTGAGTTCCAGCAGGAAGGGGTGGTGTTACACTAGATTGTCTTGATGCAGAAGTCCGAGATGGAGTTAACAAATCAGGTGCAGAATCTGAGTAACTCTCTATTTTGCTGATACAAGTACTCAACTGCAGCCACAAAGGCTCCAAAGAAGCATTGATGTCCCACACCTGAGAAAGAGCAGCAGAACGCTCATTCTCAGGAAGCAGTGGCAAGTCCTTGTCTTTCTCAGCTAATGAGGCAACAAGAGAGCTTAGAGCCTGTAGAACCCTCAAAATTGCAGCTCCATCAGAAGATGTTGTACTGAGGAGCGCTTTTACTGCCTCACCAAACATGTGTAACTCACTCATAGCAGATTGAATCAAATTTCGTACAGAATCTGCTAACTCAGTAATAAACAGATGACAATGGCTTGGAGCAATGTCCACCAACTTCTTCATCACCTCTGCCACAAGATTATATGCATTATCTGACAAGCTGCACAGGAAAAACAGCATTACACCAAAGACACCAAACCAACATAGTTCCAGTTAAAAGTACATAATATGTTCATCAAATAGGAAAAAACAACTCATGCTATAATACAAGAAGGATGCATTCTGTAGACATAAGCAGCTTACCCTTCTCGAGCGAGCAATGAGCATAGAAGTCGAAGTTCAGTCTGTGGCAAGTCAATTAGCACATTTTGAGCATCACATTCATTATCTGCACTGGATATTGAAGGTTTGGGAGGATCAACAGTCTTAGAAGATGAAGCAGCAGCCTCAGATGGAGCATCATGAGTTTCGACATTTTCTGATGTTGAAATTTGAGGATTTGGTGTTTGCTCGGTAGGAGATGCCCCAGATTTATCAGATGAGAGGGGCTTTCTATCCGCATTGTCAATGATGACCTCCAATAAGTTAAGCAGCTAAAACAGTAACTAAAATTAGTATCATGGAGATAAAAACACATGGAAATGTCATAATAATTAACTGAAAGGCCAACAAATATGCAAAGTCTTACTTGTTCAAGATGTGCTATACTTCTCAAGTACAGTGGTTGATTTAAGAGACTCAAAAGCAATGCAATAGATATGCATACTCCCTGACGCTCATCAATCATCAAAGCCTTTTGATGAGCTTGATCAGTACTCCCTGACTCTTGCGAGGTAGGGAGAGGCAACCTAAACTGAAGTAAAATCTTTGCAACATAAGGATGATTTCTAGCCAAGTAGGTGAGAGTTTCAAGAACACGCCGAGACACCAAAGGAGGAACTCCTGCAAAGAAAAAAGAATTGAAATTAAAAATAATAAACACACACACACACACACATTAGACAGCCGGTGCTTCAAGTATGAATAATGAAATGAAAACCAAAACCATTCCATCTACTATCATAAACACAAAAACTACTTCATCTAATACCACCAGCAAAAAGTAAATAGAGATCCACAAGACAGAACAAATACTTCTCTCTGCCTTGCTCTCTCCCCTCATTTAAATACAATTTTGAAAGCAAAGCTGATATTGGGTTAGATCTTACCGTCAAAATGTTGAGGACGTGAATACACGACATTGTTCTGGCAACCATAAAGCCGATAAGTCTGCTCAACAGACTTCGAATAACCATCAGTTTTTCTTGTATCAAGCATCAGCATGTCCATCAAGATTTTAACTAGAGCAGTTCTTGTTTCACTATGAGCACACAAGTTGAAGAGAAGCTTCTGCAATGAGCCTTTATATGGTAGCTGCAGGATTAAAAACATTAATGTATAGATCATAATAGGGAACATACGTTAAAAGGGGAGCTTATCAAACTGTGCAAATACCTGAACAACACGAAGCAATCGAACCATTCCTTGAAGAGCTTCTGCAGAAACTAAAGGTGTTCCATCAGCTTCAATTAACTTGGCTGTAAGAGATCTGCGTGTGGCAATACTTCCCCCAACCCTTTCCACGCTGGATCCAATAACTTCACCTCGCCTAGAAGATTCACCTCTACGAGTTCTTGGGTACATACCAAACAAGGCACGGTTATGATACCGATGAGCAAATCTTTCTCGTAACATGTTTGCCTCAGCCACAAGTGCAGGCGTGAGATTAGCAAGAATAGCATCTGATGATGTTAAGAGAACCTGAGATAAAAAATAAATACATAAATAAATAGAAGCATCCTTAGTGATGTTAGCTTAAAATTAACCACACTGCAGTGAACATAATACCTCTTCCCGCAGATCTGAAGGAAATGTAGCTATTATTGAGACTGTGTCCATTTCAACTGGTTGACCTTCAAGTTCCTGTGACTGATGAAGCCTTTGCACTTGTTGTTGTGCAAGAACTTCAGCTCGAATGTCAGGGGGAAGGGCTGCAAGGAATTCTGGATCAATATCTCCTGTATTCTGCTGTTCAGCATTTGAAGGTTGTGCTACTTGACCCTGTTGAGCTGAAAGAACCTCAGCACGTAACTCCTCAGGAAGAGCTTCCAGGAATGCAGGATCAATGGATCCAGAACCAGCATCATTATTTATCTGTTGCTCTGTAGCTGCCTCATCTGGTTCTGCTTCTCTACTAGAATTTTCTGAAACTTCAGTAACACTGTGTAAGGATACATCTCTGCCACTTGCAGGAGTAGAATGCCCAAGAGACACATTTGTCCTCCTTGTACGAGGTGCCTGTGGATCGCCTAAAGGATTTCTATCTGTGGAACCTTGTCTATCTCCACCATCATCATGGCCATCTGCACTACCAATTTCTACATCTAGGCTTCGTAGGCTTTCACCTAAAGTCGCTCCACTTCCACTACTTTCTTGGCTTACCGCTTCAACATCACGAACAGCTGGATCATTCTGCTCAAACTGCATCTCAACAGACTGTGAATGTGTACTCAATGCATCTGCTCCTTGTACAGAATCATTAGCTGCAGGTCTCACATCAGCATTGCCAGAATTGTCAATTGCTACAGAAGATGGAGGGATCCTGGCATTCTCATTATTTACATTGTTTTCTATGGGAGTCTCAGGCCTCATACCAGATCCTGATTCCAGTAACTGACCACCTTCACCATGAGTTTGAGGTTCCACTACTGTCGAGCTATCATGCTCAGAATGTTTCTCAGGGGTTGGTCGCCTCAACTGTGAAACAAGCAACTCTTCAAGACCTTGTGGTATTGTAGCTGAACTTGACCCACCAATTTGTTGGCTTTCATCCATCCACAAGTTTAGTCGATGTCCATGTCGCCCATTTCTCAAAGATCGGAAAATAGAATCCAGCCGGGATGATGTACTCTCTGAGCTTCTATCAGAAACTACCATATCATGGGAATTATCTGAAGGAAGGAAGGGGGTGGGGGGGGAAGAAAGAGCAGAGCAAGTATTAAAAAACAAGAAACACATGATAGAATTTCCAAGACATTAAAATGCAATTTACAGAAAAATTCTAGAAACTGTGCAAGAAAAACTAAATTCCTGACCTGACTGTCTCTGAGGAGCTGTACGTCCAGAGACAGGTCCCAGCAAAAGAGGATGTCTTGAGGGGGCAGAATTCTCTCCACTTCTTCCCAAAAGACTGTAAATGGAAGTCGTTCGCCCTTGACGTCTTGAACCAAAAACTTCTACTGGCATCACATGAAGTGTTTCATTAGGAAAGCTATGATCCCTGCCAAAAACCTCAATATGGTCAAACACATCTATTCCATTAATACCCTCCTCCAACCTGAGAATAACACCACCCTCATCGTCCCCATCCTCTTCATCGTCTTCCTCCAAAACTTCTTCATCAAACTCATCATCATCATCAATTTCATGATCATCTTGATCTGTGTCAGGATGAGACAGGTGATGCACTTCATCTTCCTCCAGATCATTATGTTCCTCATCTTCGTCTTCATCTTCATCTTCATCTTCATCAACTTCATCCCCCGACATCTCCTCATCCTCATCTTCAAGATTTTCCTGTACATGGGGCTGGATTTCAAAATGTATCCCCATATTATCAATTCCATTCTCAGGAGCACTTCTACCCTCCGGAGTTTCTTGCATATAATCATCCTGGGAAGCAGGAGCAAACCCTCCATCAAGATCCTGGTCATGTTCCATATCATCTGTGACAGCTTCTGATCCACCATAGTTTTGGACAGAATTGAAAGGCTCAGTATGATCAGCTACCATGGAATCATTATTCGACTGAGATGCCATTTCCATGGATTGTGATCCATCAACAGTACCATCTGTTCTGCCAGACTGATTATGATCAGAAGGTTTTGTTGAATTTTCATTTTTCACCACATTAGAATCAGCAGAATGGACATATTCCCTGGTCACCAGCTCCAGAACTTTGACCACTCCTGTAACAACTTTGGGTGACTCAGAATGATCCAAGTCCAGCACCTCTAGCAATCGTGTCAATGATCCAACTAGACCAACATCTATGAAAGTGGCAGAAGCTTCTGCTGAGATGCATGAACCAGTGGGTCCACGAGCGATTAATATATCATTCAATAGATCAACAAAGACCTGCATATCATTTCCTGGTGGCCTGAAACAATCAGCTGATTCAAAAAATTCATTGAAAACATAATTGATCTCAGTAAAAATTCTCTTCCTAGCCTCAGCAGATCGAACACAAGATGCCACCAAAAACTCACTCGCCCTGGTTGCCAGTTTATTCCTCCAGTCACTATCAATTTTCTTCTCTCTCTTTGAATTTCGGGAATAGGGAATAAATCTGTGAAGAATATGGTGAAATATTCCCCCACCAGATAAACCAGTGGATCCCCTTTGATTAGCAGCCCTACAACTACTAACTTCACCATCCTTCCGGAGTAGAACATGAACAGATGAAGCATACATCAATAAAATCTCTGTCAATAGTTTTAAGATGAATACAATTTTTGCAAGTGATGCAGATGCATCTTGGCTGCTGGATTCACTCTCTTCGGACAACGTTGCAATGGCTTTCCCTTTTCCCTTTACAGAAGCTGCATCAATCTCCATGTCAGTTGATGATGGTGCATCAAGCGGCTCATCAGTCATTACATCATCTCTCAAGGGAGGCAGAAAGGAACAAACAGAATCCAAAAGGAGCTCAATCACATTGACAAAGCTTGGAGGAGATTTCCTATGCATTTTAACCGTCTTGGAATTTGAATCATGAACTTTACCAGGACTTACCAGGATCACTCCACCTATACTGACCTTTCCATCATTAGCCTGCGTTTTATCTTTCTCCTTCTCCTTCTCTTTGCATTTATCTTTGTCACGATCTTTCAGCAAAACAATATAAGGCCTTTCACCACTCATCTCAACTTGGCAGATAGACTTAGCAGCTTGCATAAATATCACTGGATCTCGAGCAATGACTGAATTTACATTCATAAGGAAATTACGTGGAGTTACCCTTCCATTTGAATTCCTATTAGCAATAGCCACGAGGTTGTGCCTTATCTCAGCTTCCATTGCCTGCTGGAGGGTTTGGGGATCTTCAAGGACATGACGGATGATGGTAGCAGCAACATTGTCAAACCCAGGAAAGAGGCTACTTGTTGGCAATGAAAGGAGGGAGCTAACACCCCCACCATCAAGAAAACAAACAGCAATAGAATGAGTTCTGGTCAGAGTAGCACACAACTGCAGAACGGCATGCATTGTTTCAGATGAAAGCTGGTTTCTGATACAACTACAGGCAATCTCAATTAGTCTCTTCTGCTCATGAATTTCTATATGTCTCAGATATCCAAAACAGGATTGCAACTTTGTTTTCTTATCCTCATCAATACAAACAGATGTTTGCTGGCTACCAACATTATCACTTTTCAGGAGCTCAACAATTTCAGAATTTAATTTCTGATCCACCTGCAATAGCCTATCAAGCGCAAGGAAAGCAGTTGTTACCCACTTTGGAACTTGACATTTTTCCTGGTCAACTGAACCAGAATCCCACTGTGAAAGTAAATCTGACACAATTTTTACAAGTCCAGACTTTGAGGATATTTCCCGTGCGCCTGAATCCTCGTGAAGAATCAAAGCAAGAACATGGAAAAGAGAAGAGAGCAGAGAATTGTTTCTAACATCTGAAACTGAGCTACAGTCTTTCACTTGGTCAAGAATGAAGGAGATGACACTAGACCTACATTGACCATCATTTTGGGAGCAGACCAACACAAGCAGGTCTCTGACAGGGAATGCTAGAGGTTCCTTCATCTGCAGCAGCTTTGTGCATGTGGACAATAATTCCACAACTGGAGGAAGTTGTACCATCTCTTCTTCAAGTTTCTGACTACTGTCATTCGAAACATCTTCCTTTGTGTCAGCTTCAGAATTTCCAAGGGACATGGCAAGTGCTCGAGCAAGTTCATCATCCTCCTGGGTTTCCTCTTGATGGGAGAATAACCATTCCATAGCCAATTCCACACTGTTTGACCCAACTTGCCTCAAAGCCTCTTCTGCCCTAGACCTGGAAAATCCCATCTCCACAATTGTTGCTATGGCCGTTTCATTTGGAGGGGGGCCAGTAACACGAGCACCATTGCTGCTAGCAACATTTTTCACTTCAACCCCGGAGTAGATGTGCCTGATGATAGAAATAACAGTGGTAATGAAATCAAAACTACAATCAGTGAATTGTGGGTGAGTCCAAACAGGAAGTACTGCCTTCAGCACCATTGATTGAAGCAACTTGACAAAAGTTTCAGCTTCCCGTGGAAAAGGAACATCTCCGTTTGTAAGTGGTTGCACAAGCAGGTGTTTGGTAAATGGAGATAAAATAAAGGAAGATGTCACCAGGTGATCCATAAGTTTACCATAACTAGCTAAGGGACCATAAATCCATGCATGATCCACATCTTCCTTTTCATCATGTTTTATATTCCCATCATCAGTATCCATGGGAGATGCCGGAGCCCTATTAACAGCGAATAACAATTGGCTGGTAGCCTCAAATGTTGTCAACACCGATTGAACAACTCCACGGCCATATAAGCAATTTAGCAATATAGGATTACAAGAATCAGGCCTGTCAAGAAGAATGCTGTCGATGAAGTCAATAACCTTACCAAAGTAGCGACACTTTGTTGATACGGGTGCTTCTGATCCAGATGAGTTTACATGACCTCCAAAATTCATATGATCCAGGGCAATGGAGGCAAAAGTGGAAGCAACGGATTTAGATGCTGGAGATGCATTGACAGTATCTTCTCGTCTACGAGAAGGAAGCAGCATCACTTTTCCCAACTCTTGAAACAAGTGGGTAATATGAAGGCTAAGTGTTCTGATCATATCACAGCATGAAGTGTAATAAGATCTCTGCTTATCAAATTCTCTTCTACTAACAGATCCAGAAGCATCGGAGGAAGAGGACTGATTGGCTCCTAATCGCAGGTTTGGACTTTCAGTGCCCAATCTCTGTTGAAAACCAGGAGCACGTCCAAGATCACGATACAGGTTTATAAGGTCAAAGAACTGAGACTCAATACTCCATCCAGATGTCCTCCTCCTTAATAATGGATCAAGGAACTGCCTAAAAGAGTTGAACCTTTGATCTGCAATTTCATTTGTATTAGATTCAGGCTGTTGCACTTCAGCAGAACCAGAACCAGAACCAGAACTCTCATCCTCCACTTCAAGTTTGGCATCTTCAAGGAGGGCTATCTGCCATAAAATTTCACGATGTACGCCTCCAATATCTACAAGAACATCTTTGCTACCATTTCCAAATTCTGTAAGCAATGCAGTTACCCAGCGATTATCTTTTGAAGCAGCAAGAAAGAGAAGGAACTCAATGAGAAAAAGTGGTGCAAGTACTCCATCATCAAGCTTTGCCCTGGGATCCAGCAGAAAAGACCCCGATACCCCATTAAATCCAGTCAAAGCTTGCTTCAAGTGCTCCCCTAGGGAAGAACAGAAGGCACGCGCAAGAGCAGTAGAGTGATGCTGAGTGAAACCCTTAAAAACCATGGTGCTCTGTAAAGCAATAGCCATCCCCTCAGAAGACTGTACAATACCAGGCCTTAAGAGAAGCCTCAGTAAAGTTTCAATTCCTGACTTCTCTACAAATAACCTACAGGTTTCAGAATTCTCCATAGTTCTGTGAAGCAGAACCATTAAATGAAAGATACACAGTTGAAGGAAGTGCTCATCACTGATGCCTTCTGCTATGGAATCAACAGAACCAACCAGACAACAATGCTCTTCATTTTCCTTCTCTTCAGAATCAGTTTCCATTGCAGTACTTCCATTCATTTTTTCCAATGAGGATGACCTGGAAAAGTTGCTATCAGCAAGGGAAGCCATTTTATTTACAATTTCAATTATTATATCAACACCAGTCCCTCTCAAGGAAGAAACATGGCGCAATAGCTCTTCTACTGCATTTGCCAACGGAACAACAGCTTCATTCATTGCCAAGACATATTTCTTGCTGGTGAAGATGTCAATAAGGAACCGTAATGCTGAGGTTTCTTTCACCGCCTCTAAACCTTTGGCGTTAAGGCATATGGCACCAAGTCCATGTGGAACACAAGTAATAGCCTTTGATGAAGGAAGTACTCCACCTACCACTGATGATAAAAAGGCCTCTGGAAGACGTAATTCCAGGAGGGCAGGAAGACAAGTTGGGTCTTTGTGGATAATCTCACTCATAACAGTCACAGCTGAATAGTAAATGTCACCTCCAAATTTATTTGCATTCTCATATATCAGTGACAAAGTGTGAGGTAAAGAACTATCATGGTTGTTCTGAGGCCTGGTGTTGTTTGTTGGGGTATATGTAGCAGAACCAAGTGCCTTCAAAAGCACCTTGATGAGCCTCTTCTGTGAGTATAGCAGATCATCACTGTTTGTTGAGCCTTCACCAATTATCATAGAATTATCACCCTCTACAACTGTACCAGTAATTCTACTTACTTCTATTTGTAGCCTATGAGACAAAAGCTCTACTCCACCCAGTTCTCTAAGCAGTGACACAGCTGAACTACTGTAATCCATGAGCTTTTGGAGGGCTTTAACAGCCAAATAGACAAGCTGCAGGTGGTTTGGATCAGAATCCTCCAAAAGAGGCAAAAATGTGGGAACCATTCCTGACCCCCTGATATTACTCCCTGATGCTGAGGATGAAACAATGTGCAGCAAATAGAACTGCAAAAGAGCTTCAATAAAAGCAATAGATGACGGATCATTGGAGCTTTTCAGTGACAAAACAGCCTTTTGAAGCACATTCAGGAGAATCATTCGATTTCCTACAGTGAAACTCATGCTCGAACCACTAAAAATTCTTGCCCGATCATGAGAAGCAGAATATGCAGCTAACTGAGCCCCCAATGCATGCATTGCAAGAGTTCTAATAGTTCCAGGAATACTTTCCTCTGACCGCACAATCCTGATTAACTCATTTGTGTACTCTGGCTCGTTAGCAAAGAAGGATGTCAATTCCTCATTAGCATCACCAGATTGAACAAGCACAATAAATGCAAGAAGTGAGATCTTGCTATACAGCCTGCATACTCTAGAAGACCGAAAGGCATGGGCGTATCTAATTCTAGTCAGCAATGAAAATCGGAGCTCACTAGGTACATTGTACTGCTCAATGCATTCCTTCATTAATAATAGATCATCCTCCTTCCGCAGATGAAGATCTGGCATGTGTATGACTCTCAGCGTAGAAGTTGTATTCTCACTGTTCTCATTAGTGCCTTGACCATTAAGGCCATGCAACTGAAAATAAAGTGTAGAACCAATTCTGTACTGAGATTTGTCAGAGTCATTTTCTACATCAGGCGGAAACAAAGAAAGCCCTTCATCCTGTGTTCTCTCATTTGCCAAAACACATGAATATAATCCCAAGCCCTCCTCCTTGCTTCCCCAGCCCTGAGCAAGAGACAGCAGATAACTGTTAACAGAGCCACATCCAATCAACTTACCACTCCCATGAACCTTAGGGTTTATCTTGACAAGTGCGGCAAGGGTCTCTAGCCCAGCTATAACAATTTCAGGATCTGTGGATGCAAGTAGAAGCTTGAAATTCTGTAAAGAAGAGAAGCACAGATACATTAGAAAAGCTGGCATTGACAGATGGATACAAAATATAACTTTCACTAAGAAGTGAGACCTAAACAATTTCATACAGTGAAATATACCTCCAAGCCGTCAAACGAACTTTTGTTAGGGCAATTTTCCAAAATTGTTTGCATCACTCGCAAAATTTGCAGAACTGCATGCTTTGGAAATGCACTGTCATCTTCTACAATCTTATCAGATAGAAGAAGGTCATTCCTAGATGACAAATACGTCTTGAAATATGTATCAAAATGCAGAAACAATGGCCTCCAATGATGAAAATTCCCCTAAAATAAAACAAACAAGTGAGTGAAAAGCACCAAAAA